ATATAAAATGTCAAATGTTGCTAATTTTCTTGCCACTTCAATGTAAGAATCAATAAAGAAAACTCCAGGCTGTGATATATTTGTCACAATGCTATCAAAACTGATCTTTTTAAATGATGCTCTCAATGTCACCTAATGTAAGAACAAACAATTACTTGAGTAAATGCAATAGAAACTTCAGATTATTTGATATCTAGTTTTTCTCTTTAGGAGTAGACATCAGGTGTATGAATGTGGACAGGTATGTCAGTATTGATTTGTTTTTCAAATGATCAATATGGTATTAAGTCTTGTTTAAAGGTTTTTAACTTTTTAAATATAGTCTCATTGTTGTTTCCATATTTGTCAATTCAAAACTTGCATAAGAAAATCTTATTGTAACTTAAGTAGTATGTGGTTTTTCATTCCAATATTAACTTTCCTATATGCAGTTAAGCTTGACATTTTATTAATGCTCCTTCAAAAATTTTTGATTTTTTAATTTTCATTTAAGGGACTGCTTTTATCTGACCCAAATTAACATATACAGGAAGAAGAATGAAAGAAACTATACACAAGGAAGATGGAAGAAAAACTAAATTTAATCACAAAAGGCATGTTCAAAATTATGCCCATATCATAATTGATTCTTTATTGGCTGTCACAGGCTTTAATGAGTTCTCATAATTTATTACCAGATTCCAAAAAAATCTTAACAAGGATTTTGGATTATTCTCCTTTTGCTAAGTTCTCCAGGTCTTTCTTGCTTTTCTCCTATCTTAAGCTCTCTCCACAAAAGTCTTAGTTGAATTGAGATCTGGATTCTGGCTTCGCCACTTTAAAACATTGACTTTATTATTCATGAAGCCTTTCTTGACAAACTTTGATGCATGTTTGGAGTTATTGTCTTGTCGGAAGGTCCACTGATATTGTGGCCTAAGTTTTTTGGCAGATTGTTTGATGCTTTATCCAGAATCTGAATATACTGTTCTTTATTCATGATTGCATCCCCACTCTAACCAGGCAACCATTCCTACTGTCATAAAAATATCCATATAATATAATGTTGCCCAGACTGCCACCACCACTACCATACTTGACTATTGGACAGGCTTATTGGAGTTGAAAGCTTCACCTTGTTTTTGAGTAAAGCAATATCCCTATGCTCTGACCAAAGAATTGAATCCTTGTCAAGATTATGCTTAGCAAAAGGTAGATGAGCTTTTATGCTTGGAACAATGGAGTTTTCATTGGCTATCTTCTATGGAGGTCAGATTTATGCAAAGTTTGCTGGAATGTCTGGCAGAGTATTTCACTACCAGATTTATTTAAACTTGCCAAAAAATTATTAATATATGAATTATTGTTGACATTTTAATTTGTAAAATTAATCTCAAAGTGCATCATTCATAAATTCTTTGAAGTTTTTGCATAAATTATTTACTAAAATATGCATCATCAAAAATGATTTTATAATGATTCTCAAATGAGTAGCTATTAATGATCATTTGTAATATTTCATTTACTGTTGAGTTGTAAAAAGGGTTATAACAGAAACTATGGTACATTTTTATGATGGTTTCTTTTTAAAAAGATTTCTCATTCTTACATTTGTTCATAATTTTTAAAGGAACCAATTTTTGCATATGCACACAATATGTATTTCGGGCAGCAATTTCTCATTTGGTGAACTTCAGCAAAAATTCTCTGATATTTTTATTCTTTTTCTTTGGTTCAGACCATTTTTACTGGTTTCTGGGCAGAATTTGAACATTAATTGTCCAATGGTTTCTGAGCTCTTCTTCCTTTCATAAGCCATTATCAAAAGATGTATATGCCTGTGTAGGGGGCAGGAGTTAATAATGTTGAGTCTATTGGTATGTATTGCATTTCTTTGGTGGTCTTCATGCATAAGTGGCTGTCTTTTTTTTTCTTTTTCTTAAGTATCATATCTTCATATATATGTTATTTTGAAGTTGTGAAATATATTCAATGCTTGTTCCCAAACTGAATTAAATTTTGTTGGTGCTGGGTTGTTTGTATTTTATGGTTAATGCTTCTAAAATTGTTTTTGTTTTTTTTTTTTTTTGTTTTTTTTGTTTTATATGGTATAGTATTTTTGTACTTTTGGATTTCTTGTGTTCTATTGTTGTAAGACACCATACGCTGGCATGTAAACCACAAATTGAAAAAAAATAATAATACACCCACTGAAATGTGGATATATATAGTACTTGGAAACACCAAAGAAACACAATGCGTTCTTACAAAGACTATTTTATTAACCACACAATTTTTTTTACAATGGCTTATGGAAGTGTTTCTTAGACATTGGACAATTTATGTTTAAACACTATTAGGAAAATGGTTAAAAAAAGAAGAAAATTAAATTAAAAATTTTAAAGGGCTTTTGTTGGTCTTCAACCAAACACAATCAATTTAATAAAATTGGATCAACAAGACAAGCTTGTTTTACAGATTTACCACAAACATTGACTGGGTAAATGTGCGTGTGTATGTGTCTCTTAGTTAAAGTCTCCTTAAATGATCAACTTTGCACTGATACTATTATTAACAGTATCAAGTATCTTTATTAACATTCCAAATAGTTCTTGCCTTATTTATTTGCAAAAACATTGATATTTAATATTTTTCATTAACATTTAACCTAAGGAAACGAAAAATGACCTTTTCATCTGCATTGAAACAAAAGACAAATCAATATTGCTTTTTGTTTTAATCTGACTGGATAACACATTTGAGAGATAGCCCTTCATTGATAAAGGCTGATTTCATGTCAGTTTAACAGGTGCTTTGGGGACACTCTGCTATAAAGGTTTATCCCAACTTTAAATTAGTTCAGCTATTTTTGGATTGTTGTTTAAAACTGGCAGAATAGAGCATTTTCTAGTTTCTTCCACACTGTAAAATTATTCAATGCATTTTACAGTATTTGATTAATATTTAAAGAAGGAATTAAAAATATATATATATATATATATATATAATATATATATATATATAAAGCTTTCAGTGATATGCAGAAATAGGGATCTGGGTAAAAAGAAAAGCAAAATGACTACTTACATATTCAAAATATTTTAAAAAAGCCAAGTAGTAATTTTGTTAGTTATACATTTTGAAGCTTTATCTGAGCTTGTAAAACCTTGTTTTATTGCTTGTAAAATTTCTGGTTCAAAATTTTAGTCAATATAGATTTATTGATCTTGTACATCAATATTCCTAAGAATATTATCAGAAATCACTAGTCTAATTAGAGGTTGGGAAGAAAACAAACCAAAGAAGGATACCTAATTATATAAGGGTGTTTCATTAAGACGGATCAAAGTCCGCAGTAAATAAATCAGTGTTATTGGTGAAAATTTATTTATTTCTCTATTGGATCATGTTATTTAAGTCATGTCAATTATGTGTGAAAAATAATATCGCTCAAATGTCCACCAAATCTGAAAGAAAAAGAAAAAAAATCATTAGACACTTAAACTTAATTCATGTTAAAATGGCTTACTTTGTAAATTATATGATTAAAAAGGTTTTTTTTTTTAAATTTCTTTTCTTGTGTTCTGCAAAGTCTCCAGTTTTCATCAAGTAGCATCTAACTGCTGGTTTAAAAGTTCCAACACTTGTTAGTCTGTTCTGTGAATGTACATTTATATAATTAGAATGGGATTAATCATTTTATGTATAAACATTAAGGGTAAAAGTTTAACTTTTTCCTGTCTGTAACAAATACACTTGTTATGTGTTATAATGTGACAGAAAATTTCTTGACTATAATAAAATAAATACTGTATGATTTATTGTTGAATCAAAATACAATCAACTGTGTACATTGATTCCTTTACTAACAAAAAAGGTCATAAATGATATACATATCTATAGCACCAGTATTAATATTTCAAACAGAATTCTGTTTCTAGTATTTTCCCATTAAATGTTTTGCCACTGGCTAATATCCTTATCCTCCTCAATTTCTTTTTATTCTCAGTCATAGAGATTTTTCTCATGTCAAGCCTCAATATGATCACTATACAATTAGTCATAAATTTGGCTCATTTTTCTAAGGTTAAATAATTTCTTTTCAATTATTTTCATTCATTATTTTTTTTTTTTCCATATTCATTTTTGTTGTCATATTGTGAATATACTTTTATCATCAAATAATTCACTTTATATTAATTATGTTCTTAGCCATTCTCTTTTTAGTCAGGACTGACTACTGATTCACTTTTAACCACTAGATTCACTTTTTTAGAATTTCATTGCTTGATTTGTGAAATGCTTTTATCAGAAAAATTGTATAAGGATAGAGTAAAAAATATTAACTCAGAAGTATCTTTGAAGCTAGTGTAGCAATATATTTTTTTTTTTTTGCTTGCATTTATAATAATTAACCTTACAATTTTATGATTCTTAAAAACAAAAACTTAATTTAACCATTAAACTATTATTGCACCTGAGAGAAGCTGATGATTCACTATGGCCTTCATGAATGATGATCATGTCTGATTCTATTGGTCATACATTTATAACATAATTTTGACAATTTTAGAAGAGCAGTTTGAATTTAAATTGTTTAATTTCCTCAATCATTTTGTAATAGTTTAACTTTAAAACTTATATTTGTTTAAATAGGTATGTTTTATTGACAAAATATGAATTTTTCTTTTAAGGTCTTCTAAATTCTAGCACTGATCAGAATCAGACAATGGTCCACCTGGGATTTTGAGAAAGCTTAACATACAAATAGAATAAGATTTCCAAGGGGATTTAATATCCATTTACTTTTCACCTGAAACCCTCTTCTCTTTCACTTCCACCACCACCACCTTCACCATTTCATCATGCCTTGCTAAGCAAAGAATACATTGTTTTCTTCTGTATCAGTATGCTGACCATTTCATGATTGAGCGTGTGTGCGTCCAATAAGTGTGTCCATAGTCATCATCGTCAGTCTGTGGTGGTTGTTGTTGTTATATTGTGTGCTGTTGTGTTTTCAGGTCAAGGAATGAAGAGAGAGGACAGTGGAGGATCTCTCGACAGTGGTGTGGTAAGGACTCTTTCTGCTGCTTCCTCTCACACCTCTCTACTGCTCCCACTCCTCCTGACTCCTCCTCCTATTCCTTCTTCCACTACTACTACTACTACTACTACTACTACTACTACCACCACGTCATCAAGCCTGTGAAGTTGACGCCACCAACATCGATATCTTGTCATCGCCTTCTCTTAAGGATTACTTAAAAAAGAAAGAAGAAATTTTGAAAATTTAAATGAATGACTTCAATCTGAACTGCAGTGACTGTCTTTTCCCATCTCTGAAGCACAAGTCACACTGTCTCCTGCAAATGAATCTTTTTACCACAGTCTTGGCCTTTCCATTCCCTCCCCTAAAGTAATTTGACTCTTACCTGAAGCACATATTTTAAAGCTTTCTAGTAGTCTTTAAAACTTTGTATGCTCTCACACACAAATCTTTATAGATGTTTTTATTTAATACTTAAAATGAAAAGCTAGTAGTCTAACAACAGCAAAATAAGGGAGGCCACTTTTGAATAAAAGGTTTCTCCTTTGATCAAGTATCAGCTCTGATTTGATTACATTTGTGCTAACACTTATGTAGCCTGCTTGAATGTTAGACATTATTATAGACAATTTGGACAAATATAAACCATAAGAGATATTTCTCTATATAAATATATTTACTGCTTTTAAAAACGTTTTTCTTTTTTTTATATTTTAAATAAGTTTTTATCTATTTTAATACCCTCTGTAACATTTATTTTAACTTGTCCCCTGTTTTAGGAGATGAAGTACTCCATTTTAATCATGGTAGAATTGAACTGTCACTTGCTAGTTCTTCTTTAACTGTCTTCATGGTAGATAGTTGTTGATAAACTTTAATCATAACTTGAAAATTTGAATGTTGATATATGTAGAATTTTGTTAAATTTTCTAATTCTAAACTGGGTTCTACAACTGCATGGATTTTAATAGACTTTGCTAAATGCCATGGATATGTGAAATGACAGCTTCACACTTGGATCCTTATGCGATATTTTATTTAAATTGGGTTATCATAACTGATCTATGCCTCTGCTGTTTTAATAGGAACAAATACTTTGTTTTGTAATAGAGTAATTTATCTACAATGTTCTAATGATGTCTAATATCTATTATTAGGAGTTTTTCCTTTAAGAAAACTCATCTATTACCAACTCTCTTCTGTTCTTTTAAACATGACAAGGCTAGCATTAAACTCTGATTTAGTTGCATTGTGTAAAAATGCTTGCACAACCTCACTTTAGAAAAAAAAAAAAAAATTACAAGCCAAGAGTAGATTATATATCTGGATTTATCTCAAGTTTGTTTAGGAGAGCAGTTTTTTGGCAACTATAGACATCACTCTAATGATAGTAAAAGTTATTTTTATCTTTGCCAAAATAAATTGACTAACAAAGCTTGGGAGCTGTAAAAAAAAAAAAAAAAAAAAAAAATTATTTCTCTAGCTTCGTTCATAAGCCTTTTCATTTTCTTTCTTATTACACCAATTAAAAAATTTAAATGTCTTCAGAATAATTATTTGGATCTTGGGCAAATCTTTCAAACTCTGGCCACTGAAAGTGGTTAAGTTTTTATTCAGTAAACACTTCCACTTTTATCCCATGTCCAATAGACTTTAATCTGATGTTGTGTTGTTTTTAGGATTGTATTTTTCATGTGATACCGCCACAGGGACTAAAGGATTAAATTATAGCTAAGGAGTACTAAAAAAAAAAAAATTTTCTTATGTTATATTGATGCCCTTTCAGAGCAGTATATATATATATATATATAATATATATAATATAGAATTGTTACTCTCTTGGCCCTTTCTGTTTAAATGACTGCCTTTAACTTTAATGTATGCAGGTATATCCTACCTACCAATTTCTAATTTTAATTAGAGGCTGCAGAGCAGCATCCCTTATACGTAAGCCTGTATTAGTTTAAAAAATGCTTAACAAAGTTAATAAAGAGTAATTCCCAGTCCCTGTACTTTAGGCTTTTAAATCACCAGTACTTGCTTGTAGCATATTTTTAAAAACAAATGGAAACTTACAAATATCTATAGTGAATAATTTTCACAAAATCTTGGCTGATTGCAGATAGTTGATTAAACACAAATACTTGTTGTTGTTCTGTGCTTTGCCAATGTTTCTGTTGCTATCTTTGTTGATGGGAAGAAGACAATTTTGTACAGTACCAAATTAAACATTAACCAGAAAATCAGAAAAGATTATGCCATCACAATGCTTTCAATGAAATAGTGTAGTTAAGTCTTTCCAGGTTTTATTATCTAAAGTTGGGAACAGACCAAATTTTGTATTTTTTCTATCAAGCAACTAAAAGATTTTGATAACTGAAACTATTACAAATTGAGATCTTGTACTCAATACACAAAAAATGGATATGATGATTTGAATTGACAAATCTAGATTATTTATTTAAACAAATACAAAAAAGGTTTGTCTGCCTATTTTACATAACTGAAGCAACAAACTAATTAGAAATATTAAAACCAGGAATATGTTTGACATGTTTCGGTACATCTATCCTATCAACACTTCTTAAAATTTAAATATAGTATTGAATGCAAGTTTAAGATAATTAAATTGAAAATAATATAACAACCTTCTTGGGAAAGACTCAAAATCAAACTTAAAACTAAAAGCCAAAGTGATACAGTGTTTTAGTTTAATTTTTCTCTATTTGATGTGTATGAGTTTTGGGAATATTAATATTTTTATTTTTCAAGTTGTCCTTTTAATTTAACATTTATTTAAAACAATGTTTCTGGAGATAGTATTGGTTTTTATATTAAAGTATTTACACATTGTCCAATTATGGCCTTTTAACAGACAAATTAGTTTTGTTATACCAAGAACTCTCTCTCTCTCTCTCTCTCTCTGCAAAATCTAGATGTATTAAACTTAGGGGTTGACTCTAAAAAAAAAAAATTGGAGCTACTTTATTTAACTTAACATGTTTGTTAACAATCTGGTCTCTGACCAAAATAGAAAGCAAGATATTTTAATCTTGTTTGATAGTATAAATGTAGTGTTCTTGTATTTCTGTAGTTATCTTAGTAATTGTTAATTAGACTGTGCCATGTGTTAAGATAAATTTATGATGATTTATTTGTGTAAGCTGAGATTATCTTTTCACTTATGGCTTGCTATAATGCATTCATGTCCAAGATAGTGGCAATATCCCAAATTCTAATTATGTCTAATTTGGATGGTATATAGTTAAGCCGTTTCAGTTACCCACATTCACAGTAGAATCTAAAGTTTTAGGTTCAACCTATCTATTGTATTCACTATTTTTCAATAACATTTTATGTTAAATATGTCTATACATTTTTTTTGTTTTTTGTTTTTGGTCTCTAAGCACAGGATATTATCAATGTTCTTCCATGACATTTTAAACTCCAAAGGTTGGTGAGGTCTCAGCACTGCATTACATCTTTCCAGAGATTTCATTGAGATATATAAATTTTTAAATTTCAAGATGGCTCTCAACGCTTTAGCTGCAGGTTATATTTCAACTCTAAGCTGCTTCTTGCTGACAAAACCCTTGATATTCAAAATGACATTTAACAATATAGGCTGAGGCTTTGTTGCAACTTCTAGCTGCCTCTTGTCAAAGTCCAAAAGGCCTCAACATATTTTTTTACATCTTCTGTAAAGTGTCCAACTTTCCTTATAGACCTTCAATGGCATTGCGAAGATCTGATCACATCTTAAGCCAGATATCTCTAAGGATTAGTCTCTGTTGTAAGTATCGATCATGTCTTTGAGATTGTGTCTTGTGTTCAGGTTCGCTACTGTGCTCTGCTCTTCTGTACAGTGAGATAGCTTTTGTTGTTTTTATGCTAATGCTGTGCTCACATACAAAAGATTTATCTGCCTTCATATTTGGGATGTTATTTTTTAATTAATAAGTCTTTTGAGGTCATAGAAAACATCAAAAACTACGAAATTTTATTGAAAATTTATTCAAAAAATTATTTTACACAACAGTGGAAACTAATTTCATTATGTAGAAGAAAATTACATTTATATTAGAATGTAATTTCATACAAACAACTTTGTTTTCTATCACCTTGAAAGGAGGCTCAATGTTTTTTGTTTTTTTTTGTTTTTTTTGTTTTTTTTTTTATGTGTCCTCTGTATGAAACCAGGCAAAAATTATAAAAATAATTTTAAAAGATATAATTAAAAAAAAAAAAAAAAAAAAACATTTTAAGTATTAATCATTATGAAAGTTCATATTGGCCAACTTACTTTAAAAATCTTTTTATTTTTTAAAAAGTTTTTTGAGAGTTTAGAGTCAGTGGTGTGTTGGGAGAATAACATATCTATTACATGTTATGATGGCTGTTCAAACCCTTAGATTTTGATTAAAACTTGGAAATTTTGTTACTACTACACAGTTCATTCTCTACTGCCCATAAATGCCAATACATAATTGATTGAAATATTTAATATAACTCCTTAATTTACTCAAAGGGTTTGCAATATAGACTTTGAAATATAACCCAAGATAGCTTGTCCTGTTCAATTGAGTTACTTTTACAATAGCCAAAATTGAGTCTTAGAGTATATGCTCTCAACTCTGTGTGTGATATATATATATACACACACACACACTCTTGTAAAATCTATAATTTCTTGTTTGATCATGGCTTGTCTTTGCAGATGAAGATTTAAGAGATGATTTTATGTCTGTTGTGAGACCCTTCGTTTTTAGCCAGTGGGGGGGAAAAAGACAAATTCTTGCCCTGCAGAAAGTTTTTTTTTCTGTCACTTGAAAACGTGGAATCCATTTGGGGCCTGCTCTTAGAGATTTATTCTTAAGATGTGCATGCAGCACTTTCATTACTGCCTGACTCTCTTAAACCTACAAGTTGCTTGCAAGGCCTATCACACATAGCAAAATTAGTAAGGTCCCAACTTTCTAGGTTTGCTAGATCTGAGTTTTTGGGGGTTTTTTTTCTTCTTTCTTTAAGCGAAACCTCTAGAATAATGTTGCCACTGTGTCATTATTTATTCCTTTGGACTTTTTCTAACATTCTCACAAGAAAACTAGTTGATATGTAGCAATTATATTTTGGTAATGTCTTTTTTCAGTTTCATTTTATAATACAATAAATAAAAATATATATATATATATATATATATATATATATATATATTTTTTTATATATATATATAATTTTTTTTTTTTTTCACTGTTAATAAAATGTAGCATTAATTTACCAAACCTATCTTTCCTTCTATTTGTCAGTTTATAGAATTTACAGTAAATCACCATCAGAAAATAAATGACTATTTGAAGTTTGTTAGTTCTTCTTATCCTAATAGTGGAAAGAGTCTGTGTGTTTAAGATGGCAATAAAAACCAATTTTAAATATTTATCTTTTAGACAGTTTGCTTCTCGATAAAGATATCTATATAAAATTTGAGTCTTTCCCTGTAGGCATTTGCCAACACTAATAAAACAAATGGCAAATTTTGGTTGGGTAATCTTTGTTTCTATTTGTATTAAATTTTCTAGTTACAATTCCTAATTATGAGAGGATACTGAAATTTTTTGCCTTAATCCACTTTCTCATCAATCAAGTCAAGAACGTTTCGTTCCCCACTTAGTAGATTTAGTAAGATTTGAAGGTTTGCTTACAAGAATGTCAGTAAGTTAATGGCTTAATGAAAATGGCATTTGTTTTACAACATAATTTCCTTGTCATTGCACCCAATTCAAGGGGTGAATATTGATTACATAGATCCAACATTATACAGCGTAAATAACAGATCAAAATTTCAACTAATAACTACTTGTCAGGCTGGAGACTGATTGATTCACCATTCTGCATCTGTCTCTCTTCTCCATATTTCTTTTCTGCTAATGTGATCAAAATAGGTTTGAACAACCATTTTCTTTTTCTTCTTAGATTATGAACTTCTGTGTGTTTGCTGAACAGATGAAATCTTGTAATAAATTAGATCAACAATTACTACACTATCAAAATGATTGCTCTAGCAAACCTGAAAGATTAGGCAGGCTTTGTAGAACCCAACAATAGTGATAATGAGCACAATGAAAGTTAATTTGTATCTAACATTCACTTGCTATCAGTCAGTTTGTGTATATGTAAAATCTATAATACCATATATACTAAAGTCTAGTGTGAGTTTTTTTATTAGCAGTTTCGTTTGTTTTTTTGTTAACCAACTAAAATCATGTATTTCCAGTGACTGGTTGCACTATACACGCCTAATTTTTTTGTGGGGTGGGGGTTAAAATTCATGCAAAAAAAATTCAAGGGTTATACTATACATGAAGTCAGCTTATACACAAGTATATACAGTATATGGTGGCATTAATATCTTTTTATTTTTTTTAATTTTGCATTCCTCATCTCTTCTTACAACCCCCCACTTTTGTTTCTGTCCTGAAATGATATACTAGAATGAGTATGTTGATTTCAAATCTGAACTTTGGATTAACCAAGCACATTATAGGTTTTGGAGATAAGTGCATATAGTGTTTACGTCCATGGTAGATATTAGTATATTAATTCTCTCATGAATTTTTACCTACCACTAATTTTTTTTCTTTTACTTCGATCCCTAATATAATTTATACATGACAATGTCTTCCCAATCATGCACTTGTACCTACTGCAAAATCCTAATGTACTAAAATAATTGTAAGTATAGATTTGGAATCTGCATAGTCAATTTATTTTAAAATCTTTGTTGCCCAGTGTTAGAACATTATTTTTAATATTTTATAAATTACATTGACCTATAAATTTTCTGCTTATGTGGCAAAATGCTTTTCTTGGAGCAATACAATTAAATATGGCAAGAGAAAATCAATTACTTGATTTCAGCAATAATTTTGTGATTTAATATATATATATATATATATATATATATATATAATCAGCTTTCACAATCTTTTGTTAGAATAAAGTCTATCTATCTATATAAAATTTTACCTCATTTATTTTTACATTCTATTCTTATCAAAACTACTGATTACACGGCTGATATTCTGTTTATTGCAACCAACCATTAGGTTTTTTTTTTTGTGCTAAATAAATTGATAAAAATCTGTGATAGATAAATTTCTTCCCCCCCCCCTCCACAAGCTTTACCTCATGTTATTTATTTAAAAATACTTCTCTCTCTCAACATTTTTTTCACTCTGGCAGTAAATAAATTTGGGGTAATAAAACAAAACTCCTAGGCAACTGACCTTTCTAGCCATTTGTGTAATCACCCAGAATTATAAGGGGTCTTCAAGAATGGCTATAATAAACAGGCAGCTCTAAGAGAAATTTAAATTTCTGGATGGAGAGGGAGTTTGGGGACAATATTCCTGTTCATTTGGTTACCAAATAACTGCTTTGATACAAAGTCAAGAGAAAAATTAACTAAGTTTATCTTTCCTTATTTCTCAGTTTAACAACTCTCTCTCCCTCTCTCTTTTTTGTTCTTTTGTAAAACTAAAGGTTTGTCTTTTCCTATTTTTATCTATTTTACAATTTTATTTGTTGTGAGGTTTTATTTTAGTAACATTTTAAAATTATCTTTCTGTTATTTTTCCTTCTGTTTGTTTTTTTTCTCTTTTTTTTTTTTTTTCCCCATTTGTTTAATTTGTTCCCCTTTCTTACAGATTCTGTTTGGTGGTGTGAAAGTACGCATTTCTCAGTGCAAACTGAGTGAAATCAGTCATCTGCTCTTCTCACAGGTCACTACAATCTTTTTGGCCAAAAGCAGTTTGTCTTACAGATTTTAGTTATCTCTTTTAATGCTATACTCCCAAAATTGAGCATCTTGACAGTGATGATTCCACAACCTTTGAGGATGAGGATTTGGGTTCAAATCACCCGCATGGCTCTTCCGCAACCCCCACCCTTTTTGTTCTTATTTAAACTTTCAACCAATGTTGTTATTTCTGCATGGTTATCTAACTAACCTCTACAAAATGCTTCACTAAAAAGATGCCTTTTTTTTTCCCCCCTCTCTCTGTAATATTTAAACTGACTTAGAATTTTTCAGTTGATTTTACTGAAGCTTCAACAAATGTGGAAATATTTATGTTAACCAAATTTTATAAAGTGTTCATACACTTACCAGTGGAAACTTATTAGTTTTAGTTAAACACTGTATTATGAAATACAATTTAAAATATTGTAAAGAATTGAATATACAATATTTAGAAGCAGATCGTCATCTTCAATTTTAGTTGAGGTTTTCATATTAGCTTACAAACAGGTCATTAGAAAACTTCTGTTAGCAACAAATTTACAACAAACTGAAATGATTTTAATATATTAGTTATGAAATTTAGATAGTTGAAATTTCTGGGGCACAATGAGGAAGGAGATTTTGGAGAATTTGGCACTTACAGAAGGCAAGAGAAGCAGAGGAAAATATACCTTTTTATGAGCTTGTGTAAATGGATGTCAGCAGAACAATAGGAAGGGGGATAGTAATGGGACAAATGTTGCTTAGGGGAAATTGTGGAAAGTTTGGATCATCCATCCACATCATGAATGGACATGGCACATAAAAGGAAGTTACTTACTGCAACTTCTGTTCTCTACTTTTGAACTGTATTTTTGGAATCTTCAAATAATGATGAAAAGTTGAAATATTACAAATAAGACAAAGCATTTGGTCTCTCAAGCCAATTGGAAACAATTATCCATGGCAAAAATATGAGAATGACTTTGCTCTTAGAAGCAATTTCTAAAAATACAATTGATGGAAACACAAAGAAAAAGCGTGATTGATTTGACACACTATTTACTATTCTTTGATTAAAATGTTGTTATAAGAACTTCTTTGCCATAAGGTGGAGGTGAGAAATATTTTTAAAAAAGATTATGGTTGAACTCTTTTACAAAGAATAACTCCTTATTACAAAACAAAATTTGTCAAACTTCATTATTTCTCTGAGAATTTTAAACAGGTGACGATAATTTGATGAACAGCAGAAATGAAATTCAATTTAACAGGCTCAAAGCTTTTACTCTAACAATATTTTTTATTGTTTTACTCATCATTTATTACCTATGTTTGTGTTTGAAAAATTTGCTACAGATTCTTGTAGCATTTATCAATTTATAAATATTTTCATCCTATGTTCACCTATTTGGTTTTGCTTTTTTTTAAATCCTAAACATGCCACTCACTTTTTATCAGTTGAACAATTCTGATTACTAGTTGATTTTTTTTTTTTTTTTTAATTTAGATAACATGTCAAACTTATGTAGTTTGTAATTCATCAGTGAATGTAGGAAATTTTAGAATAAATAATCATATCGGGTGCATATTTTGACTCAATGTCTATCCGGATTTTTTATTTTTTTTTTTAATGTTTATTTTTACATCCGTCATTTTCAAAATGAGTTTACAGTATAATTCTTTCAAGTATTCCAAAAAATGTCTGTATAAACTAATACTTGAACAATTGTCTACATTTTAGACAACTTAGTTTTATCTGCCGAGTGAGTAGTTAATTTCACAAATATATTCAAACAGTATGAATATCAGAATCTGTAGTCTTACTATTAAAATATGTTTACTTAGAAATTTCAAATACCTGCATATTTATAAAATTATAAAATTCATATCTGAGTGGTGCAAGCATTTAACCATTACCAAATTTCTTTTTAATTTTCACCATCTTTCTCAGTTTCAGAATGCTTGCAAACAGAAGAAATCCCCCAGTGTTGTATAGGTGACAAAAAGGACATTTTCATTGGCACATCGTTTTCTGCTATGTTTATTTGAATCCCAGCTTACTGTCACTTTGTTAGTATCAAAAGTAACTTTTTTTTTTCCTTTCATTCGATAAAATAAAATTATTATTTTCCTATTTTAAATAAGACATAAATCTCTTTGTTAGATTTATTTTCAAACATTTAATTAAAAATAAAAATAAAAAATAACTGTTAGCAGTTCACATGAACAATCTGGATATTTTTAGTCCAAAACATCAGCCTGATCTTAGTCAGAAATACAATATTTTTGCAATAAAATTAGTATTAACCAATTGATGTTGGTAAAATTTTCTGAATATACATATATTTATATAAGAAATACATTGTGTACATATCCTAATTATATATATATATATATATATATATATATATATATATATATATATATATATAAAAAGTGTCAGATTTTATTATGAAAGCAAGCTAAATATAACAATTTTTTATTTTATGAATATAAATTCCTGTTGCTGCAAGTTTTAAAGATCTAGACACTCTAAACATATTCAACTGACACAATATCCCATACATACAGTAGTCAGTGACTATTTTAGATTATAATGTAGGGTTCTTGACATTCTATAACTTGAAATACTTTTACATTTTGTTAACATCTATTTGCAGCAGGTATTTTTGACTTCCCAGATATCTTCACTTAAATTTAGTTTTCCATTCTCATATGCCTTTTTTTAATGGACAACAAGTTCTCTATTTGATATCTAGAAGTAGGGGTGGAGTCTGTTCTATCAATCTGGTATCTTCAAAGCTTTTTTTTTAGCAAAGTGGGCAATCATCAAAAAGAGTATTCTTACATATTGTCTTCAGCTTAAAGCTACTTTGTTGTGATATGTATCCCACTCAAAAAAAGAAATCTTGATCTCATCATCATTCTCTTTGAAGAGATTTGTTGTTTTTTTTTTTTTTTTTTTTTAATAACAACCTGTAAGCTGAAAGCATTTTCTCACAACCACCATAAATTTTGTCTTAAGTTTGGGTTAGTTGATTATTTCAGAGAGCACAACCTCAAGCCCAGCTATCAGGTTCATCTGCATTAATCTACATTAATCCCTAAAAATGACTTTTGAGAAATCACTTTCCATGTACATCATTACTCAACTTGCGTTTCTCCTTGTAATGTTTACTTAAAGATGATAATTGGGTTGCTTTCATGTCTTTAGCAAATGTTCTTAATATTCTACATCTTTTATTTATTCATATTCACAATACCAATTTTTTAAAAATATTTTCTAAGTTAACCATTTTTTTCTTGCTGATAGTCTTTTCTCAAATTTCTTTTTCTAATTTTCCTAAATAAAGACAGTTTTTTTTTTTTTTTTTTTTTTTCAATTTCATTTTTTTTTTTATTGTCCTGTGATTTCTGCTCTTTTTAATGTCCAGCATTTAGTTTTCGGTAACTTTATATGATCTTGTTTCTCTCAAGATAACTTTCTTACAAATCATGGTGCACGTATATATATATATATATATATATATATATATATATATATATATATATATTTTTTTTTAAAATTTAGAGATCAGTTGATTTTGCTACCTTGGTTTCAACCTTATGGTATCTTTGGGTGATTTTTATCAATGATAAAAAAAATCACCTGAGGATACTGTAAGGTTGAAACCAAGGTAGCAAAATCAACTGATCTCCTAATTTTTAAAGTTAAAAGCTCTATATTTTTTTTTTTTTTTTATACACATGTATTGATCACTTTTTAATACTATTCCCGGGTCCAATTCAACCATGACATTAAGCTTTTATTTATATATATATATATATACACACACATAGTCATCCACAGACAAGCCTGTTTTGCTGTATCACAGCTTATCAGTGTGGCTCAACGTCAGATTGCTTCAACCCAGGATTGAAACCCAACTGATTTGACATCAGTCAGAGATCCTACCCCTAAGCTATTGGTGCATGGCAGAGAAAGGGAAATTTTAACGCATTATGTACGGGTGTATACAAAAGCTAGCAGCCAGAGGGCTCGATTTATTAATGAAGAGTGGTGTATTAGTAGCAGTGGCAGCTACTGTTTTGAAATTACCCTTTTCTCTATAGTGCTTGATCAAATAATGTGAGTGTAATATAGTTGTCCACATACATGTTTTGCTGTATCACAGCTCATCAGTATGGCTAGACATCCAATTGCTTCAAGCCGGGATCAAAACCCGACGTGTGTGTGTGTGTAACTATATATATTTATTTACAATGAACGAATTTTGAATTGCATAATAAAATCTCACATAACCAAACAAATTTTAGTAAATAGTTCTAATAAAAACCAATTTTATAAGCTTAAAGTGAAATGTTATATTGTTCATATATAAATATATATTCTGAAAATGTTACCAATATTGATTGGTTAATAACAATTTTATGAAAACATTGACTTCCATAATAAAATCTGATATTATGTAATTCAGATTTCAGCAAATATTTCAATTTTTAATCTGAAATATATATATTGTATGGATATGTGTTTGTAACCCTGTTATGTTAGCTCTGTCACTGATATTGAGCACTTTCCAATAAGTACTGTGAATATATAATATATAGAAAGAACAAATTGGAAAACTTTATCAATCTAACATCTTTCACTTTTATTAAAGCTTCATCAAAGAATGAAATATGGAGAGAAAAAAATAACAGAAATTCTGGTATTTTTATTTTATTTTTGCCTGATTTTCATTTGTTAATCAGGCTTCCTATGCATTTGACCTGCTAAACAATGTTAGTATAATTTATAGCATTTCCAATTCAAGGAGTGATGCTGCATCCTTTCAAAGCTCCAAGAAATTAAGACTCCAAGCCTAATGGAAAAAAAATGTACTAACCTTGTTTAACAAGTCAAATACATATGACACCTGATTAACCAATGAAATGCAAACAATGCAAAAATAAAAATACCAGAATTTCTTTTTCTCCATATTTCATTCTCTGATA